TTGAATTACTCGAGTTTGACTCAGATTCGACTTAACTCATTTTTTAAACAAATCAAACTTGAATAAATTTTTAAACTTGTTTAAAAAGACAAGTTCGATAGAATCCAATTCAACCTCGCGAAATTGAATTCAATTTCCGACCCTACCAATAAGCATGCGTCCACAAAAGTAATGCCAAGGTTGACGTGACCCAATATTTTAAGATAATTCAATTTGAGACCCCTCCTCAATCTTTAATCTGACCTCATTGTTAATCATCATGTTGTCAACTTGCTACTTGATACATTGAACACTTTTGTTAACATGGACTAAAACTGTCATTGTTCATGTAAATTATCACCTTTATAGTTTATTATACAGTTAAGTTTATCCGTCAAATTCAGAGTTCTTGTCATGCCTCAGACTAGCTTGTTTGTTTGAACATATCTTCCTGACCAGTCTTTTTTATTTCTTTGTTTCTCCGTGTTGATATTTTTCTCTTGTCAAATAATTCAATTCACACACTTTTTAATATTAAATAACTCTATTAATTCACTTCTATCTCTCTCTTATTTTCTCTCTATTTATTTTAGTTTTAAATTACGTAATTAAATAAAAAATAAAATAAATAAATTATTATTAAAAATATAAATAAGGCATGATATATATATATATATATATATATAAGTTTGACTCTGCAAACATTATCAGTAAGAGGATGTTGGCAAGTCAAGCACAAATTGATGCCTTGCGTGCCTGGACTCGCCGCTGCCAGCCTCCAACCATTTGATTTTTTTAAGAATAAGGAACCGTGGAGAACAATCCCACCTTTTGTCATCCGTAATTTTAGTTAATATAAACAATTATATATCGAGTATTATATTCTGATTGTCATAGTTTTTTTTATTTTAAATGTTTCATTTGTTACGATAAAAAGTACAAAAAATGAAAAGTTAAAAAGATGGAACTTAGAAAAATAGATAAAATATTATATTTGGTAGGAAAAAAAAATAGGAAGGATAAAAAAAAATGGATGAATTACCTTTCTTTTTAACTCAACAAAATTAATCTCTCCAAAATTGAAAAGAAAAGTTAATTATGTGTGATAAAATGTATGTTATTTTATTTATATATCTTTTAATATATGCATAGTAGCGATACCATGTGACTAAAATCACTAAACATTGAGATATGACACTATATGGGAGTCTGTATATAGTGTGCAGCTTTGTGTTGTGGAGTATATGTGTTGAATTAGTAGGGAAAGTGTGTGCTGAGTGTGTGAAATTTGGGAAAAAAAATATATCCCCATGAGTTCAAAAACCTATCAGATTTATTTATTTAGATATGACACTGTACACATATTGGAATTGTATATAGTGTGTGTATGTATGTGCAGTTGTGTGTTGTGTAGTATATTTGTTGAATTTGTGATATTTAGAAGGGAAAGTGTGTGTTGGGTATGTGAAATTTGGGGGGAGGGAAATATACCCCTATAAGTTCAAAAATCTAGTTGGTTTATTATGTAGATATTTTTTTTCAAGGGAGCGAGAGAGAAACTTGAACTATTGACCTCAAAAGAAGGTAAGTATTCATGGTGTAAAGCTGAAAATCCTACAAAAATTAGATTTTTGATAATAAACGTCATGTCATCGGAATAACCTTTTTTGTCTTCGTTTACCCTTTATTTCACTCAATCCAAATATCACCCTAAGGCCTTATTATAACTCATAAAAGCCCTAAATGATCTAGAGAAAGCATGGTGAGAACACACTTTAAATGAAAATGAAAGTTGATTTTCCTATCTAGTGCCCTAACATTCCATTCATGAGATTATGCCTATGTCATTTCTATTGTTATGCATGCACATTATTTTTTGGATTATATGTAAACATTTTGGTTTGTGCACAAGATTCTATCTTACATATAGACATAGAGAGCATGCCAGAACAATCACAGAGCTATTCATTTTTTAGAGAAACCCTTGGTGAGGATTACATCAAAGCTGAATTTGAATAACTAAATAAATGTGGATTCTATTGATTAACGGTTTAAATTACATATTTATTTCACACACACGAGTTTTGAAAGGAACTGCGTAGGTGTATACTTTAGAATAGTATTTAAAGCTATGATGAAACTCATGTGTGATTGGTTCAGGTGTTTGAAAAGTTGTGGCAATCCAATCCAGAGCTAGTAGGATAAGGAAATATTGCTCAAATTTTAGATATTAGAAAAGAAGAGAAATACCTTTTGTATTGTAACTTGTGTTTTACGTATTGGGTGTTCATTTTGTTGAAATATATATTTATATTTTTTTCATCCTTCCACTTTTTTATTATACCAAACACAAAAAAATTAATTCTTAATACTTTCCACAACTTCTACCAAATACAAAGGAGGGAAGGAAGAATTCTTCTTTTGAATGACAGAAAGTGTATCACTCCCACTTTTTATTTTTCCTGTTTTTCTATCCACCTGACTAAACACACCATAAGGGATGTTTCAGCTTGGCTGTAATACCATTAATATTCAATTTTTATTATTTTTGTTTTTTAGGGCGATGACAAATTTTTATTTGTATGAGTAAAGTTTCGTACGTTTCTCAAAAATGAAGATAAGATTAACTATCTTTTTCAACCAATAATGCTACACACACTACATTTATGCACTATTTTAATATAAACTATTAGATTAATAGGTTTCGTTGAATATTTAAAAGTTGAGATCATACCACATCAAATAGTGTAGAAAAATGACATACAAAGATGATGTAAATATCATTAATGCTTTCTCATAACCCATGGTTAGACACTTTGACCGAATTCTAGTAAAATTTGACACACTCTACTAGGCATATGTAGAAACCCCCAAGCTATTCCACCTGCAACTTAAATTCAAATTGTCTACTACTTGTAATGCCACATTCTTATGGTCTCTGTTGGCAGGCTCCAACATTTTTAATGTGGGGATTGTATTTGAATTGAAATTAACATGATGGAGAGATTCGTTGCACCCAAGACCCACATTTCAAAGGGAAGAAGCTTATAGGTCTAAGGATCAGTCTACATATCGATGTAGCGTCCTATTCATGGGTAACGAAGATGAGATGATTTGAATAAGAACTCCCATTTAGAATTGACTTTCACAATTCTTACTTTGTGTAAGAAAATATAATATGAAGTGTTTATTTGGATGAATTTTTGGGGAGGGTTTGGATTTGATTTTTCAAATCTTTTAAACTCAAACTCCTCTTTATAAAAATGAGATTAAACATTGAATTTGACCGATACCTATGTTTGATATGTAACACATACACATATAGAACCCACAGATATATTATAATTATTAATAACTATTTGTCTTATAAATAACTATTTTACCTTTAATCAAACTAATTCATACTCATATGAGCAATGATACATGGATTTAAAAGTAGACTTAAAAACTAAACTTGATAATCTCAACCATTGATTTCACTGTGGGTTCCAGTATTTATTAGGACTCAATACCTCTTCAATAATTGAAATTATCAAGTCTAATTTTTAAGTTTATTTTTTAAGTCCATCAAGCATTACTCTTTTTCCAAACAAGTCCGAAGTGTTAAGTGCTTGTAGTCTCTTCATGCAAATCGAGGGAAAAAAAAAGTCAAGCCATGAAAAGTCTGAAATAAATTATAGTTGGGACCAAAATGATTGGTTCCAAAATAGGAGGAGGAAACAAAGTGCTAATAAGCAATTGGTTTGACAACCCAATATTCATAATTGTTTGCTAGGATTCGAGTAGCTAGGATTCGATCCTAACCACCTTAGGCATGCGCAAAATGAGACCTCAAATTTGGCTTGGTGACATTACTAATTTTTTTTGTTTTTGATAGACAATGATATTTTTACACACAGGCACAGGAGAGAGGGAGGTAAAAGGAAATGAGGACTCAAACCATCGACCTGTCACTTTATTATGGAGGGCTCCAACTATCTGGGTAGGACTTTGGTCCTAGATTACTAAATATTAATTGATATAACTATTATTGAATATCGTGCCATCATTTCATGCCGAAATTCAAACTCCTTTGATGTGGGGGTGTAATATGAATTATGGGTAAATGTTATACTTGCCAAATTCTTACCAAATCTCTCTATCAAATGATGTAGCACAATTTTTCAACATCAAATATGTGGATCCCATTAATATTCAATGATTACGATTGTGCCATATCATTTAAAATGAAAGAAAATTTGGTAAGGATAGTATTTTCTATGAATTATAGGTGTGCACTGATTTTTTATTCTCATAATATTTTGTTTGAAATAGTGAATATTAATGATACCCACTTATTTTAATGGTAAAAACTGTGCCAAATTCACTTAAAATCATGCTCTTCATTGCATGGCTGCGTTTGAAATATGGCACACATAGATGGAAACTCTTTGTTGTACAGTCAAGAAAGACTGCTTATCGACCATAACATGTATTCATATATTTGCCTTTTTAGAAGGTCCAATGTATCAACGTAGGTAACAACCTAGTTTGAAACATACTCCCTCCAGTATCATGTTTTATTGGTGTATTGGTGAGACTACATATAGAGCATAAGCAATTTAACAGCCCTAACTGGTAATGCTTTTCTTTGTATAGTTCCCCCATGTAGGACTGCACATATATTTACAGTACATATAAAAACTCGCTTAAGATCGTGTAGTAGTAAAACAAACAGAGATCAAACTCAAATTTAAAACTCGTTTAACAAACAAGCCAAACTTGAGCAATGGTTTATCTAGGCACGAGCCCAGCCGAACATGGCCTAGGTTCGCAATTACTAATTATGCAGTGCAATACAATGTAAGCTTTAATGAAAGTCCAAACCAATAGACTTGGCAAGATATGTGCCAGTAAATTGTAAAGAACAATGTTTATACAAAGCTGCTCTTATAAGCAAGCCATAACACTGTAATTTGTAAAGGGAATTGAAAAAGTTTTCAATAACAGCGAAGTGAATGTAAAACAGTCATATGATTGTATCATATGGAAGCTTCAAGCTCATCTGGGGATACTGCAGCTCCATTTGGGGCGTCATCTGCCCGAAGCTGAGAAGAAACATCATCTATAGCTGAGTTCAGCTGTGCAATCTTGTCCGTGAGTATTTTCCGTGTCTTCTGTTCTCGTCAAAACACACAAGTCCAGCAAAATCAGTTAGAGTGAAAGACAAGTACCAACCAGAAGATAATGTACTGGAACAAACAAATTTTTTTTTTTTTTTTCGTTTCTCCATTCAGAAAATTTTCCGTAACATCTTATAAAAGGCAAACCATTTAGATTGATCAAATAGTAGCGTGGCATGATGCGATTTGTACACATTAGAAGATGCAGGTCCTTGCCCACTTTTATGTGGCCCCCTTCATGACACCTTGTTATAATTGCACAATTTGCGTCCCATCAGATCATGAAAATAAAGGGTATGAACTCAATTACTGGGTCCAAGAGTGCACTCGCATCCTAATGTTCAAATGGGTGGGGAAGCTTCCCCATTCAGTTTATTTGATTCTCGTAATAGTGTTTCAACCACACAACACTACAGAACAGTTCACATAGAAAGAGGTAGCCAATAAGCAAGACTAAAAAAATCCAAAATAGTTTTCCATGACCTTTAGGGACAGTTAAATGGAAAAACTGATTTCGCCTTTGTTTCTCTATCATAATTTCCCCTGGGATGGAAAAAGTGCTCCTCTTTCTCTCTCTCTTAGTCGTTTATTTTGGGGTAGAAGGAGGGAGAGCAAGGGAGCCAGGGGGACGGAGAAGAGTTTTGTTCTGAATGCAATCTAATAAACTCACAGGAATCTTGGGCAGCCAAAGGGAAATGATCATTAAATCAGTATGGCTCAAGTACGTAAGTGAAAATTGCTGAATGCGCAGATAATATAAAACGAAACTAAAAACGCTTTATAAGTTCAAGCTGAGGTAGAAATAACATCATTTGGGGCAACATTATGCAAAATGGTTTGATTTGTTAAAATGGTTTGGTCATATAAAGGGAAGACCACAATTGCACTGGGGAAGAGTGATAGAGTGGTAGTTACAAAGGACACTGGTGGAGGTAGCATATCAGTAGACAATTTCATATGCAAAATGGCTCTGGATTAAGCAGAATGACATATCCGAAATTGTGTGGTCCAAATCTACCAAAATTACTGGAAACTTTGTATGAGAATGTTAAGAAAACGCAAGCATGGAAACACAAAAGTGCATATAATGAATGCGAAATCCAGGAGTAAGTTCTGACCTCCAAGGCTTTCTCTTCATCGTATATAAATTTTGGCAGCTTTCTCATCAAATCCTTTCTGTCTGCTCCAGCTAAAGCTTTGCTTATCTGCAAGACAATGTGATGTCAGTGGTATATAAAACTCTCAATTTCAATTCATTGAAGTTCATCTGGTTTTCAAAGTCATAATCCACCAGGCGTGTCAAGTGCATGAATGATGGATAAGGTTTACACTTTATGGTTGAAAGTGGAAAGAATACTTTGACCACTTATAAAAGAGTTATAGGCTAAGTTATCCAGGCCATAGAACTATATAACCATTGGCCCCTTGGTACATGTTCCTCGATGCTGAAGGCATTACCCAAAAGTAGGGGATTTCGTAACATTTTGGATTGGCTGTCTTGTATTTATAATAAGTTGGTCTATTGAATCATATCCATAATAAGATGGGCTGGTTCAGATCCATCCTAATCAGATGATTATGAATTACTTCTAGTTAATATTCTATTAAATAAGTTTTAATAGATAGAATATTAAACTTGATAAAATAAAAAGATAAAATCTCAAATCACAGGTAATGGATATACTTTAAGCATTCCATTAGTTATATATAAACGTTCCAACAACAATACTTGTATGCATAAAATAACTTAGGTTTGGTGGAGTAAATGCATTTAAAAAGAGAGAAATTTTAGTGGATGGCACTGCTACAGTTGCTGGCAGCGTATTGTGCCGGTTCTTTTGAGTGATATATCTGGAAATGCCATTGATCCCTTATTAACACTGTTTCGGACACAACTGATTACATTCCAAAATTACTGTTACTCGGACATCTTTACCCTTGGCCATGAACCTCCTTTGGATTTTTGATTTATTCAACCCTTCTATTTTCGATCCGAAAGGAAGAAGAAGAAACAAAGGGAAAAAAATAGAAGTGACTTGACTTAAATACATTTATGAAAGAAAGTACCCAGAGCACATAGGATCCTCTATAAGCAAATTAGTAAGGGACAGAAACCTAGCTGGCTGCCTCAGATTAATCTTACAGCAACCAGTTGATCCAGATAAATTTTTCTAACTCCTGAATTGCCAAAAATCTAATTAGCCACAGACAAGAGCAATGAGTAGGCATTTAATCATACCTGGGGTGCATATACACAACCTAATGTTCCAACTACAATTCCTCCCAATACAAAGCCACCAACGAAGATACCGGCACTACTTGGTTTTCCACCATCCCCACTGCACTTTCAAAAATGTAGTTGGCATAGAGAAAATGGGATCCATAAAACACAAAAAGCAGCTAGGCTGACAAGTAACAATAAATCCTTGATTGCTCAAACAGGATACATTGCTTATCACATTTTTTTTGTGGAGAAAATTAGAACCGTGTCTGATCCCAGCACCCAGAATCAAGTGATAAGAACAAATGGCAAGCACTTGTGTGTCTCCCTCTGTGTGTATGTGGCTGTGAATGTCAGAGTGTGTGTGTCTATGTAAGAAAAGAGCACGTTTGGCATGGTGGATTTGAAGATAATTTTCAGTGTAATGAATACAAATCTGGAACACCTTCAGTAGGTAGAAGAAAAAGAGAAGCTCAAATTCTGCTTCTAAATCATAGCCGCTCTGAGATGTATATATTTATATGTGTATATATATACGTGTTTATACTATATGCACCAAACCAACTAATAGATCAGCTTCAGCATGACGTGTTTCTGTGAGAAAAATTCAGCAAGCCTACCTTCTCTGGACATAAAAATTCTTGTAACTATTGGTCTATACAATTACACGTGATAGATTAAACAAGAATGAAACACAGTGAAATAGACAGTTTATGGCCATACCCAGCTCGCACCCTAAGTGATCTTCTGTCCTTCAAAGCTTTTGTTTTCCCACAGGAAGTAGAGCTCATAAACAAGTTTCTGGAGCTAAGACATTGGTCCACTTGCATCAAATAAGAACCTAAAACCATATATTTTGGCAACTAGAAGAATAAGTTAATGCCGCTTACAAAAATTAATAATAAAATAATACTAATAAGGGTTCCATAAATGCCTACCCCTGTGGGCATCACATAGATATTCATCACATATAAAAATGCATAACAAGGTTAAATTATATGTGGAATGTTAGACATTTGGGAAAAAAATATATGGTGATGTATAGCAGTACAAGTCAAGACATATTGCAGCGTAAACCCAACATACGCACTTGAATATTTTATGAACATTGAAGTACACAGAACATAACCAAAACAGAAATTCAATAGAGGTAAAAAAAAGAAAAAGCACAGGAGAAAATTTTCCTATGTACCATGGGTCCAAGTAATACTTCCAATAGCCCAAGCAACCAAATTGGAACTTGAGGCAAAAATACTCTCACGTTATTGAATTGAAAATCTTGCAAAAGTTGCTATTTTGATTTTAAAATAAAAAATCTGTATCACCAAGGCACATGTGAGGATATTATGGCGCCAAACCAGATGGCGACCCCAGACACTTCTTTTGATGTCAAAGAAACCCAATGCAAAAACCCATTCTTGGAACCTCCAGTAGTATCATCATGGCTCACAGTCAGATGTTCACAAGCACCTGATCTAATACATTCATAGGCATTTATACTTGCAAGAAAATTACACCAACCTAGTCAACACACAAAGGCACGTACGCACAAACAAACTCGCCATTTTTGTGTCTAGTTATGTATGACTTTGACGAGTTCACATATCCAAGTCATGTTGAGTTATGAGGCTTATCCCATGTCTATGCAAATGAGAATAATATATGTATGGGGGAAGACATCCGCTTCACCTTTATGAGGAGGGATCTTTGTCATCACCTCTAGTGAGACCAATATGCCCTTACGTCATCAAGTACAAGCATTTTTAAAGGCAGGGTAATATTAGTCATTCTGTATCCAAGGAAAATCTTTTCCCTTCGGTATGATTCTTGGCCTCAATGCCTTCCGTCAACAACTCAGCATATTATCTTAGTTCACCTATGACTCTACCCAGGTTACCCATTTTTTTATATAGAAGGAATAGAATAATCTACACTTGAATTTGAATATAGTCAGTAGTCAGCTTTAGATGGATCATGACCAGATAACCAGTAAATAATGGGTGTTCAAAAAAAGAATGACCTTTTTTTCCATTATGCATGTATGTACATTCAGAGAAAGGTGGGACAAGAGAAAGAAACCTGGTAAAGATAAAAGTCAAAGCTAAAATAGGTTGGAGACAACTGTGCCTGTTGGCTGGCAAGTCGCGTCCTTGAAGCAAAAGTAGCCTCAACTTCACCGGAAGTAAGTAAAGTTTATTTTCCTTAAAAAATAAAAATCAACCCAAACTACACCTTCAAAAAGTTCGTGATGAAGGTTGTAAATTACTAATAATGTACACGAAGTCATGCTAGAATTGCAATTCCGAATGGACCCTTGTACTAAAATGATAGACGAGGTTGAAATCGTAGAAGCCATCAATTAAACCACTTTTCAGACATCCTATTGCACCTACTCATGTCGTCAAGGACGGAGCCATTAGTGGGCTACGGTGGGCTGAAGCCCAAGTAAAAAAAAAATTACCACTTTCATACAAGGTTACCAGTATCAGCCTACTAAATCACTAATCATTAGTACAATTTTCCAATGTCCTTAAGGCTTAAGCCCCAATTCATGGAAAGAAAGAATTTTTTAGGGTTTTCTATTCCTATTTTGATCGGAACAGAGAGGGGATTAGGCCAACGCCAAACACTTCGATTTCGTCCGTATCGTCCTCTAGTTCTATTCGACTAATCCTCTTCCAAGAACCACAAATAGGGATTACGCCTCAGCTGTGTGAGGTACTATAACTCATTCCTTATCTCCTTGATCATATATTCAGCCGTTATTTGGGTTGTTTTCTCAGATTTTCTATTGATTATTTTTTAACTAGAACAGTAGAATCATTGTTGTCTTGTTGATTTGTTTATCTGGTTTGCTTTTCTAATTTTCAGCCCTTTTCTACTTTATTAGGATAAAAAATCAAGAACGAAAAAGAGCAAAAACAATTTTTTCGTTCTTCAAAAAGAAAAGTGGAGAAGAAACATCAAATTCTACTCTTGAACCTTTGAGTCTAGTAGAAGTGTTGATGTTCCTATGATTCCTGTAGCTGATTTTGACAGACAAGACATGCATAATTTGAAATATCAACTGGATCATTATTGATTTGATGTGGTTCGCCATGAGAGGTTTTAAAATATGTCTACAATTTCAAAATTATGTCGTGCTTTAGTAAGAAACAAATAAGGCAGAGTCCTACAATTTGATTGATAAGTTGATTCGTCTTATTTTACCTCTTCCCGTTTCTACAACAACTTCATAAAGAACATTTTTAGTCATGAAACATGTCAAAAGTACTTTTCGTAACAAGATGGAAGATAAGTATTTGACTAATTCTTTAGTTGTCTACATTGAAAGAGAAATAACGGAAGTAATCGATACAGATTCAATAATAAATGCCTTTTGTTCTAAGAAGGATCAGAAGTCCAATTTCATTAGCAAGTGTTTATGACTTTACTTTTTTATTTTGTTAATCGTATGAATGCTTAACTTAGCTCGGGATAAACAAAAATCATGGCTCCGCCCTTGCATGGTTCCTAATTTCCCTTTTCAGAGGTTATCAGCTCCATGGGTGAACTCATAACTCAGTAACCACTAGACTAATGGCAACCAAGAGAGTTAAATTCAAGATTGAATCCATATCAATCAGTTTATTGTAGTCACTTCTACCATCTCCAGTGACCCTTTTCAAAGTTACTGGTTAGAAACTAATTGCTACATAACAACACAATATAGCCCTTCAAACACACATAGATGAAAATGCAAGAAAAAAGAATCCTAAATAAGCCATATACAGTGCATAAAGACAAGTACAGTTGATCAGATTCTAATAAAAGCATAATAGAAAAGAATAAAAGGCAACAAAAGGGAAGCATATGCAATTCTTCATAGCCCATCACAAAAAACAAAAAAGAATGACTAGCATCGTAATAGTTTCCAGCAATAAAAAAAATTGCAGATTAACGAAAATAGTAAAGGCAATTACCAGGTGAGAACTGGGTTTGTGGATTTTTGATTGAAACCAACGAATTAGCTAAAGCAGACATCGTTCGGAATTTTCACAGAGAGAGAGAGAGAGAGAGAGTGTGAAGATTAATTTCTGAGTCTGTTGTGCTCGATGATATCGAAGAACAACTGCACACAGAATTCTGACAAGATGGAAGTAAAGGTTTATGGGCCGGGCTTATTGGGCCTAAATGAATTAAAGTCTTGGGTTGAACTTGTTCGGTCCATGGGGCCCTCATAGCCCTAGGTTAGTGAAAGCCCAATGGTGTGGCATTTGATATGCCAATGGCATATCTCATGTACTTAGTTTTTCCTTAGTTGCAAGCCAAAAAAATAAGAGAAAACATGTACTTGTGTATTGTTTCTCTTTTAACTGCAAGCAAAATAAAAAAAAAAAAATTCATCAATGGAATTAAATGACTTAGCCAGATTCGATCATATTTTGCATTTTGCTCTACCACCATTAAAAAAGGTCATCAATAGATTGGGCTTAGATAATTGATTGGTAGACTAGGTGGGTCGAGGTGGTGCACCACCTTTACTCGAGGCTTGGAAACAATTGTGCGAAGAAAAGAAGCAATGATAGTAAAGAAGTGATAAGCCTCGAGTAGTTGCAAGTTGGAACCCAATCGTTCCCAGCCTATAGCAAGCACAGCTCATTATGTAGCTATAGCAATTGGAAGTTGGAACCCAATTTTTACCTTTGAATTGGGTTTAGACCCCCCACCCCCACCCACCCACACCACCACACACACACCACACACAACACACACATTTTAGGCAAATTCTATTCCACATGATCGTATAGTTTCTATTAAATTGAAATGGCACTATATTCCCAAAATAATAATAATAATAATAAAAGGTTAACCATAGGAGTTGATAAGAGGGCTTTGTCAACTCCTTTACAGAGTGAAGAAGTCAAGTCAAGGGGAGTGGAGTTAGAGAATTTTGTTGTTGGTTCATGTCCTTGTGTTTCAATTGCATGTGCCAAATTGTCTTCGCACCACCATAAGTAGCTTTCCCCATTACCTATTGAGTTTACAAATAGTAGGACCCAAGTAAACTGTAGGTCTTGAAATGGGTGAATCACACCTTCTCCCCCAGCGTCAATCACGGTTGGTAGGGTAGTTGTGTTTGGTAGGTTGTAATCAAATAATAAAATGAAATGACCGTTGTTTAGTAATGTTTATTTTAATATTTAGTATGTAGTATTAGAAATTTATTTTCATTATTATGGAATATTTAATCCTACCAATATATAATTTATTATATCTTAATATTTAATGGTATTTTTCATTTTCAACTATTTTCATCAGTCGCCACCACCACAATTACCACCACCAAAACCACTCTACCTCCATTCGGAGTCTGGGTCTGGATCTGGGGTTGGTTCCAGATCCAACATCAAGGTCCATGCTCGAAATTTGGGATTGAGGTTCAATTTAGGCATGTGGTCAGGGTCGGGGTCGGGGTTTGGGTTTGGGTTTAGTCTAGGTCTAGGTCTAGGGATGGGGTCAAATCTAGTCGGGGTCGGGTCGGGTCTGAGTCTGGGGATTGGGATAGAGTTGGGTCTAAATCCGAGCTCAAGGTCTAGTTCGAGCACATATATCTGAGGTTTGGTCTGAGTCTAGGATTGGGTTTGAATTTGAGTCTAGGGATTACTCAAATATTTAAGTGGGTTTTTAATTTTATTTTAGCACTTAATACTAGTTTTTATCAAACATTGGAATAATAATATGCATTTTATTCCATTCTTATACTTATTATATTCTCATCTTAATTCTATTCCTCATATAAAAATACTAC